TTCCGTTGCCCTCCAGAAAGGTGACCGTGTTTGTCATGTGGTGGTTCAAAAAGACTTTGCCCTCGGAACAGGTTGTGACCGCTGCGAAGACAAGCAAATATTGACAGTGCCTTCCTGTCACACAATGATGCAACCTTGTGTGTACGCGATAACAAATAACGTTTTTTTTTACTGAGAGAGTTGATACTGAGGATAATATTTAAAAAAAAGTCAGATTCCTTTCATATACAGTTAATTTTCTCCTTCCTTCACCCTCAATCAATTCAACTGAATTTCTTAATGAGCTGTAGATCATCTTCACAGGGATGCGGAAGGCCTCCTGCTGGGCCTGTGGACCCTCTGCCCACATTGAGGCCTGAACTCACGGGAAGGGAAGCTGCCCTGGCCTGCAATGCTGCATCCTGGGCAAAGAATCGCTCTTTTCATGCTCGAGTCTCCGCCAGTCATTGAAGCTCTCACCATGAAATCCGATGTCACAGGGTTTAAATCACTGTAACCCTTGCCACTTCCTCTCGCTTCTTTGCCCACTGTTTTGTTGTTCTCTGTTGGTGCCCTGGGGGAAAAAAGTATTTCTTGTCCTTTTATAAGGATAGCACCACTACACATAAAGCTGTGTGTTTGTATGTATGTGTGTGTGTGTGTGTGTGTGTGTGTGTGTGTGTGTGTGTGTGTGTTTTCCACCTCTAATTCATTCATTTGCTTGTAGCTACATTTCATTCACAGGGCACAGTAGCGGCCTGTAGTGCTATTCGTGTAATTTGTATCAATTAATTTAACATTTGATCAGAATAGCTTTCTTTCACAGAGAGTATTTCCTTTTGGCCTTCAGCTCAGTTCCTGAACGACCCAACGATCAAAGGCAGCACAAACATCATTCTTCAGCCCATCCTCCTCTTCCTCCAGGTGGCTGTTGGTTCTTTTGATAACTGAGCTGTCTCCTCACAGGCTGAGGTCAAAAGGCCACGATGCGAAGCCCACTCAGACACTTGAGGAGCCCGAATCCTCCCTGACGCCTCCGTCTTGTCAGACCCAACCGCAGATCCATTAACTTAAAGAAGATTAAAAGAAGGGTGTGTTTTTCAAATCACACAAAACTCTGCCCACAGCAGTGATACAAGTCTGAATGAATGCTACTCATTCAGGACATTTCTAAACCTATTTATCCCTAAGAGCGATGTGGCGACATTACTCTCTGGCAGTCTAAAAAAATGACATCAAACATGAGTGTTACACGTCAGGCTGAAGGAAGTAGTGGGCAGTAGCGAAGAAGTTCAATTTTCATGTCTTTCATGAGAAATTCTCTCTGGTTTTACACAATTGCTGCAACGTCATTCCGGAGTTGGATGACGATGCCCTTTGTTTCAGCTCCGGGGCCCTATTACAGAATTTACTCATCTACTCAAGAACTCTTCTTTTAATGGACACACATTTGAACTTGTTACACATGTAACAGCTATAACTGAGACATATTTCCATAACAGTCTCATCTTAAAAGTTTACATCTAATAAACGTATATGGGATACACGTCTCATTATTTGTCACAACCTCTAACAGGATGAGTGACAAATAACAGGAATGTGAAACTCAAACATAAGACTGGTGGACCGTGACTTTGAAAACAGCAGCAGGCTCGTCTGTCTGCAGTCTGTAACGGGGCTCTAATTACTATTACATGTTTGTACGCAGCTGGTTCCTCTATAAGAGAATTCCCTGTGTCACCATGTCAGCACATCAACCTACACAAATGTATTTACCATAGAACACGTTTGTTAACACCTACTTACTTTTCTTTCCTATTCCAGCTTGAGACGTTGTTAAATGGTGGGCAGACATTTATCTTCTGAGACATTTCTTATTTCAGGGGTTATCTGCTGTTCATTTTGAAACTAACCGTCTCTGCCAATCCAGCTTATTTCAGGTGTCGTCATCGCCTTTCACTAACTACCGATGCATGATTTAGCCTTGGTGTTTCTTGTCTTTGATCGAATTGAGCTCATTAAAGAAAAAAAACATAAACAGAAGGCCTGGATTTTAGTCGAGCTTTGGTGATCCATCATTAATTTTGCCGCAGCATATGGGAGTTCTTTCAGAGCAATCCATCTTTGAAAAAAGCAGCAGGGGGAGGAGGGAGGGGGGTTACAGATGTGGGAGGTGGGCTTCTGACTGCACTGACAGCTGTGAGGGACGGAGGTCTCTCAAAGCAGGAAATGACTTGACCTGCCCTGTGGGAGACTGGCCCACCGCGTCAACAACCCCCACAGCTTTGAGCATCCTGGGTCACCACAAGCGCCCACGGAGGGCCTCGGAGCAACAGTAGGACAGAAAATCTGCCGACCCCGGCAGCAAAAAGTTTCAATGTGTACGGTGCCGGCTCACCTCTACACAAACGGAACAGAACAAGTTGCCGAGACCTTAAAAGGGCTTGACATTATTCAGGTGTAGGTTGCACCATTACCTTTCAAAGACAAAGCCTTACATTGGTTGGGTGCAGTGTGACAAACCAACAGGAGTTTCACCTTTAAGTCACACTGGAACCACATGTGATATCAGTCATTGCACCACAGGAAGTGGATCAAACGGCCTATTTGCTAAAAAGTATGAGTATTCCTTTAAGCAAACAAATTATGTTGGTGGAAGAGGAACGGTTGATGATTGCAGCAATAGAAGCACATGTGGTGTATTTATTTTGTGGGTTTGTAATTTACAGTAGGCATATAGGTATAAGGCACTCCTTAATCCATATAGGACCCTATAAGGATTTTATTGGAGTATTAAAACAGTGGAAAAATATAACACTCGGATAGAAGGAGGGGAGGTCACAGGGTCGTTTGGCGTCGCTCGTACACTTTTATGAGGTGGTTATTTTATTCACCACTTTACAATATTTAATGTGTCTATTTGCCCGAGGCTTTGTTTGTATTGTAACAACAGTAAAAAGATCATTTAGCAGTCTGGAGGACGACTGTAGGCTCAGTGTGGTCTGGCCTGACCTCACTTCCCTGTTATTTTCCAGTAAATGGCCTCCTGTATTGTCCTTCATTCTCTCTCGGTGTGGGTGAAGACAAACACAGACAGTGAACTCCAATGTGACATCCAGGCTTCAAAACAAGTCCACATCCACCATAACTGGCCTCCCAATCTTGTATGTGTTCTATCAGTCGTATATTGTACTGCACGCCAAAAGCCACCCACACACTCTCTGCCTCCCACACAGGTCAATCCAAAAATTGTTTACTGTCTTATGAAGGGCAATTTCCCAAACAGTCAACACACAAGGCAGATAAAATGATATTAGTATAATTCTGGGCATCTCTGGGCATTGTTGCTCTTTGACCGTAACTTGTTGCACGGGAAACATTGTTTGTAAAACTGGAAATTTGACATTAATGTTAAACATTAACATAAATTATCCGGGATTAAATTAAATGCTAATTCTATTAAAATCCCTCAATGATATTGCAATTTTGTTGGATTTACAGACTTGAAATAATCGCATGTCTATCATTGATTTGCCAAATTCACTGGGAGTGAGGACACACATGATAACAGCTGCACTTGGAGTGAGTTTCTGTTTGAGTATGAGTTTATCTGAGCCATATTCTGAACTGAAAATCCACCTTCTCTGGTTTACAGTGATGGAGGACGTATCACATCCTGTACTCCATCTCTAGTCAAAATCCTGGATGTAAGTAAAAGTACAGAAATATAGCAGCAAATGTTATCAAAGTATTGTTGTCTTGTTATTGGGGATACCTTAGTGTACAAGCATCATTTTAATGTTGCAGCTGGTTAGAATATAGCGGATTAGAACCTTGTCTGTACTGCTTTGTAGTTTAAACAAGAACAAAGCCTACAAACTATCATGTGTTTTGTAAATTAAATCTGTAAACTAAGTGACTAGAGTTGTCTGTTTAAACTAAATACAAATGAAATGAAATACAATATGTCCAGCCGAAAATAAACGGAGTAGAGTTAATGTGAATATTCAAGTAGCCTAATGTACAAGTCACACACACACACACACACACACACACACACACACACACACACACGTAGTTATTTTCTACCTCTGCTGGTTTATACGTCATCAACTACTTTTTCTGGTAATGTTTAGTTTTCCCTTGTGTTTCTTTTTTTTTATCTTTTAGGGGGATTTTTCTCCCTTTAAGACGGACTTGGGAGGAGTTACAGTAACGCTGTCGGGGTGCTGTGAGGATTTATAAGGAGATGTGGAAACCCGCGTCACGCTGACTAAACGAGTTTAACCTCCTCCCGGGCTTGTTGACAGAGGAGGGATATTGCACATGGTTCAGGTTGGACTGAGAGACTGACTCGTACTCGCCTGTTGATTTTCTCTCACTGGACTCGAACGACCCGGCGTTACGTGGTGGACTAATGACGTTTTAATGGTAAGACTCTCCTTCCTAATAGCTATCACAATGATGAGTGACTTGATAAAACAGGGCTTTAAATTAACTTAAACCGGGCTACCAGAGGCAGTGTTTAACGTGAACGGGGGAGCCTGCTATTGGATCGTATTCCTCGCGCGGAACTTAACGTTAAATGTGAAGAGACTCGGGAGACGCGTCCAGCTGGTCCGAAGTTACCCTGACCGTTTGTTGTTTCTCTGTGAACACCCTCGGGTTGAACTGTGTGGACCGATTCAGCTCGTCTGTCCGGGTTATTTGTCTGTGAGCAGCGGGACAGGCTGCTCTCTTGACCCGCTGCACGGTTCCTAGATGTCCGCCAAGTGAAGTCCCATCTGGGGATGGGTGAGTCCTGGACTGCTCGGCCCATCCACGGTCAGCCGCTAGTGGGCGCTGAAGACACGGGGCGAAATGGTAGCGTTAGTGTGAGGAGTTTAGTCCAATTTGATATGAATAAATTGATGAAGGTTTAATTCTAGTGATGACAAATTGAAATCGTTTTAAATCTATCCATCTATCTGTCTATCTATCTATCTGTCTGTCTATCTATCTATCTATCTGTCTATCTATCTATCTATCTATCTGTCTATCTATCTATCTATCTGTCTATCTGTCTATCTATCTATCTATCTAGTATATTTCTATATACTTGTGCTGTAACTATACTTATCAATTATGTTTACATAAATGTAGCATATGGGTATCTACATATTGATCCATTTAAAGGAACTACTGAATATATATTGTGATCAGTAAGAAACGCCTAGTTAGTGAGACTACTCTAAAATTTAAATAAACTTGAATAAACTTGTTAAACATTGTTAACAATATTGAATTTATATTTTTAATTGTTGCCTCACCAGATTGTTGCCTATATTCATTATAAATGATGAGCTCTCTCAGCTTAATCAGTTCATTTTTAAATGTAATTGTTTGACAGGTAGTCACATTTGAAAGCTGGATATGAATTAGCTCGAGGAAATACAATTTCGAATAGCTCTAAATAGTTTAACCTATAAATATGAATCTTTAGAATTACAGTGTACAGCTGTCACTCACTAACTCACAAATTGGAAAATTTCCTATGACATCACCTAACTTCACCACCTGCAGCCTGTGAGGAAATGAGAATCAGCTCAGCTGTAATTTTTGTCTTTTCTGCCAACAACACCTAACGAATTAGCTTCAAGCCAAATATGGCTCTTAAAAAACAGTGTTGAAGTTATTCATATCCTAACAAACTGCTGAAAAATATAAACTATAAAGAAATACAAAGATATTACTTTTTCTTTTAGCAATGGGCCTATATGCTATAAAGTTGGTCGTGTTGGTGTGTGGCATATATTGGCCAGGTTTTTTAGAGATACAACATATTAGTCATGGGCCTAAAATGTAAAAATATCAAATAATCTCATGTCACAGCTGTTAACTACAATAACAAAATAACTACACACTCAAAAGATTAAAGATCAATGTTTTTGCAAATGACAGAGAGAACTAAATCTGCATTTTATTTTCTATGTTTTGTTCAACCTACAAACTGTACTTTATCCCCCACATGCCACTTTTATCCCATCATGCCGTGTGCAGTGAATTGTCATGATCAGGGGACGTGAATGGTTAAATCAACTGCATCCATGAGGCATGGCCCGGTCACATCTACAACACAGGCCTCAAACATATATGACCCATTTAGAAACCAATACATGTAGAGTAGACAGTCTGCAACAAGTCTGGTTGTTACTAAACTATTGAACTATACTATATTACTCTTACTATAAAACTGTATGAAAGCCTCAGTCACAAATTTAGATATCCTTCCTTTAAATAAACCAACTACAGTTGTCTATTTAGTTTATTTGTTTAAAGAAACATTCATCTGGCTGCAAATACCGGTGTTGAGAAAATTATGTCACATATTACGGCTTTTTTGTTTTTGTATTGTGTCTCACCAATGTTGTGGTGGAAACATTTACAATGAATGCATTTGGTAAGATTTCTGTCCGGCCTGCTAAGCTCCGAGTGTAACTCGGCCAGCAGAATTAACGGCAAGTTATAAATCAGGTGATGTAAAGCACATACTTTATACCAGCACCATAATTCAATTATCTGTAAAGGTCCAGTCAGTGAATGGCCTATTGCCTGTAAAAAAAAAAGTGAAGTAGGAACAGCCAAGGAGAGCACATCTCCTGCATGAGATAAACAAACTGTTTACCAGCCTCTGGCTTCTCCTTTCAACGGTGCCAGTCACACAATTTGTAGCACAGGCTCATACCTTGGCCATGTCAGCTTGTCTCCATGGCGTATCGTCAGGCCTAACCTCATGGGAGAGTTCACTTGTATTTTCAGGCTTGCTTCACTGCGCACCAAAGTGACACAAAGCCCCATTCATGGCTGAGAGTGGCTCCATTCATGGACATCGAGTACTTGCCGGTAGAATTCATAATTGTTCAGCGTCTTCCATCTCCGAGGATCACTGGCGGAAATGACGCAACACTCGGTTGTTTTAGGGATGACATAAATATTCAAATGTAGCATGGAGTCACTGTTTTGTTTGTGGTGGGGTTTGTGTTGCATTATGCATGCGCTGCATTGTCTGCTTCCCACGTCAACTATCGGCCTGTCAGTGACATGAAACAGAGCAGGACTTAGAAGAATGAGATTGTAGTGTTATAGTAAAATTGAGATCTTGAGTTGCCCTCCGGGCGAGAAGGAGGCAGGTTACTAATTAGTGGTTTGCTGGAGAATTGCTGCATGGTTCAATTCTATAGTCAGGAACAGACATTTATAGTGTATTTTCCTTTCGGTGCATTTTATTTTGAAATGTAGGTGATTATGATCATGAAGCAGATGGATTTGCGTAATAAATAATGTTTTTATGGGTTAAATGTAGTGGTCAAATTTCATGAATGTAAACTGTATGTGACAACTGACGAAGGGCCACATGTTTTGAGCAGCAGAGGGAATGAATACTTTGCGTGTTGCTGACACAGGGGCATCGCTCAGTTTTAAACCACTTCAGTTGTCAAGCGGTCTCTTCAACAAAACCTTTGACCCTCCACCTTGTGAGTAAAGTAAGGAAGCAAGGCGTATGTGTCTCCTGTCACATAAAAGCAGGATGACTAGTATATCCGTCACAACAAACAGAAAATGATCGATATCATCATTATCGGCCCTCAAGTTCCATATTAATCTCTGAGGATGACCGTGACCTGACCCAGAATACATGTGTTCATCTCCACGTAAAGGGGATGCCAGTTGGTGTTTGTCTTTCTTTAAGCTTTTTTAATTCAATACAAAATTAAACAACACTTTTTTTCATTACTCAGCAGATAGTAACATATTTCAGGCAATACCTAATATCATACGTGTGTCTCAGTGGTGGAGTTTGTCATGCAGTAACACAGGAATGCTGCACAATTAGCCCCTGTTGTAAGGGCGGATACTGCAGGGTTTCATGGTCACAGAGAGGAAGGAGGGCGACGAGTACTGCTGCCCTCCCACATCTGACCCAGAGGTTGTGCAACAGCCTGCTCATCAGACAAATGGCTTTAAGCTGGAACCACAAAGAGACACACACATGGCAGCTGCCCGAGCAGACGAAAGTCATTTACTGGGCTTTTGTTGTGACTGTTATTTCTTAAAGGCTCACCTAAAACGATGGGAGGGTTTCAGGAATGTAAGTTTGTACGTAATTAACCCACAAGATACAAGATGGATATAATGATTTATTTGAAGGTGGTAAATGCTTTTGTGTTTCTAGCCTATAAGTATTTGTTATAGAATATCTGTCCTGACCATTGAGCTGCCTGGTAAGACGAGTGCGTGCAGCTGGTTGTGCTGGATGCGGTTGTGCTCCAGATGTGCACTGTTTATATGCCCTGTTCATGGCCAGTTCACACTGACGAAGGTGTGACCGGAAACAAATACAAGCAGTGATGTAATGCAAAAGCCAAATGTTGAAGTTTTGTTCAAAGCCTAATTCTGACCTGACGCACCTGCTACAACTACATGTGAATGTACAAGTTTCTTGTTACGCATGGAAAAATAGCCAGGTGATTCCACTAATACTCAGTTTTCTGGTTATCTCCAACAGCTGTCTGCTGTCTAGAATGAAGCTGTGATGGGTTCGATGGAGCTGACTTGTGTTCAGATACCAAACACGCCTTCATGCTTTTTGAGATCACAATTTCTACCACAAAATGGCTGGAAGTCAGAATAACTACTGGTCACAACATGACCTGAACAGGTACGCAAACACCGCTCTAGTACTGATAGAAACAAAATGTAAAGAAGGATCAGTTATTATTGCATAGTGTGACAACACAAACACTTCTTTAACTTTCATCAAACAATATCAAGAGTATAATTCTGGCACTATTCATGTTAAATACTTGGCACAAAAAAACAAATTCATATTTATCTGATTATTTTTGTGTTATTTTATCATGTTTCATATGTAACAGAAAGAAAAATATCTAATAGAAATGAGTTCAGTGCTTCACGTCAGCATCCAAAAACAAATATTTAAGATTTTATACATCTGACAATAAACATACCCTCTTGCATTGACTTATCCCCAGAGAAAAACCTCATGTGTCTGTGATCGGAATCCATCATATTGGCGATTTATTATTGAAATAGCCACGAACCACAAATCTACCTTTGCAATCTGTATAACACACAACGTGCTCTATTGCTTGACCCTTCACACTGGATAAGGAAAGACTGGAGGGATCCCGCTATCAGGGTTGACAGATATGCAAAAGAAGTTTCACATACAGAAGAAAATGGTTGAGAGAATGTGCAATGCTGTTAAAATAATGTAAAAACATGGAGGACGGCAGAACATATGTTCTGTTGAAGCATATGTCATGCCTGTTATCTCACATACATAATGACTTACTCCTGACAGGTTATGTATTGGAATGATTTACATACATGCACAGCTCTGTACGGATTTCTCAACCTCTCTTGTGTTGCAGAGAGTGTTTTGGCCTGAGTGCTGACATGGAACAAAACCTGACGGAGCTTCAACAGCAGCAAATGGACAAGGAACTTAACTGTGAGTCTTTTACGTGTTGTTGTTTTTACATGTAAATTATTATAAATTGACTACAAGGGAAACTACAGATTGACAACTAGCAACCAGTTCAGTTAACTTGGATGTATGTGACACTTGTGATGGTTTAAATGTTGTGTGAATTTGAAAGAATCTCAGTTCAAATTTCCAAAGGAATATTGTAATAATAATATTCATCTGTAAATATTGATAATTGGGGCAATGCTTGTTGAAAATGAATTGCTACTACAACCTGTTTTAGATTTGTGTGATCTACATTAGAATTAACTGTTAAACCTTGAGATACACACACAGTACACATGATTATCAGTTACCTGTGAAAATGAATTCAAATAAAACATTCATAACATTTTACAGCAAATCACATTCTTGACTTTCTCAAAAAGAAAAGGTCAGAAATATTTTTTGACCCTGTATTTTTTGAAATATTTTTGAATTGTGAAAGAATAGTGTACAGAAGTTGTGCTGTACTAAATCATACATTTTCTTAATGTTGACAAAATTGACTAGTTTAATTACACGGTATGACTCTATACTCTGCCTTGGCTGAACAAACCAGAGTTCAAACCCTGTTTAACTAATAAAACAGCGTGTTGACAGGGTTATGGCGAGTTTGTCATCACTGGACTGAGCTGTGTAGCAGAGGGAGCGGAGAACGGAGTCAAGGAGGAGAGGAAGCGATTGCTCCCTGGTCACCAGCTGTTCCTGCAGTCTGGGGCATGTCGGATGTTTCCACCGAGAAAGTTATGGGAAGCTCCGTTAAGATTATGGCCTGCGCTGCAGATAATGACGAAGCCCGTGTTAATCAGGGTGTTGTGGCTGATCTTTGACGAAGAGGGTGATAGGTTAAGCGGTTGTTTTCAACATGTTTTTAATCCCGTTTCCCAAAAGATACCTTCAGCAAAACAGGAGGTTTTTTTTTCTAAGTAGTGTCCCACTCCCCCAGGTATTTTCTTCCTCCTACGCCATCACTACACTCTAGTTAAAGTTTTTCTCTCATTGGAAGTTGTTTTCCATGTTTCCTCCTCTGAGAATTGTTTCTGCAGTGAAGGAAACAACAGTGATAGCAAAACCATGAACGGCAAAGCAACGGTTTCTCGGCGTAAAGTTCAATTTAGGATTTCATGAAGACGGTTGTATAATACCTGATTGTTTTTCCCTTTCCCAGGCAACATCTCCCAGTCTCCTTTCTACTCTGATACGTACCGCCTAGTGTCTGATAACACGCTACGGCCTCATGAGGGAGACCAGGTGGTCCCTTCTTCCCAGAGACGGACGGTGTTTGGGGGCCACCAGAGAGAAGCCAAACCCCTGCCGCCTCTGCCTGACCCTGAGGAGGTCATGTCTGATGAGGCCGCCGATAGTGAGGTGGAGTTTTTTACCAGTGACCGACGGCGCCTTTTGCCCAAAAGCTGTCCCAAGGCCATGTGCAGGGGCACAAACAGAGACTTCGGCCAGGTGAATTACGCCTACCAGGAGAGCTCGTGGCGGGCTGGTGGTGCGGGGACCGGCTCCATGGCTTTCTCGTGGCCAAGCAGAGAGCACAGACCAACCCGAGGAAGTGGGTTTTGGGCACTAGCTGCCCAGAGAGAACACCACCAGCATGTGGCGTCAGCAGTCGGGGATGATTTGTCTAGCAAACAGCCAGACCACCACAGACTCCGGTTTCCCTGTTCAGGCCCTGCTTCCCAGCCTGTCCACAGCAGCGCCTCAACCTGCCCCACTGACAGGCCGCTAATCCCTCCTCGTATCCCCATCCCGCCAAAGCCTCCTGCTCTCTCAAAGACTGTGAGCTCCAGCGAGGAAGACAAGCCTCCCAAAATACCTCCAAGGGTCCCCTTAGTCCCACCCTGCCCACCACGTACCCCGAGCCCCAAGAGCCTTCCAATTTATATCAACGGAGTGATGCCTGCCACACAGAGTTTTGCTGCTAACCCAAATTATGTGAGTAAGGCATTGCAGAGACAGCAGAACGAAAGGGTGCCACCCGCAGCTCAGTTTTCCCCCTGCATTGTTCCCATTGTGAAGGACGGCAGGAAGGCCAGCGCTACACACTACATCCTCCTACCGCCGGGCCGACCGGCGTACTCGGACAGACGAGAGAGACTCCTGAGTGAACCAGCCAGGATGGGGAACAGCAGCGTCTGGCAGAACAGATAGAAACCATGACTTATGTCCCAGTCTGAAGCTTGAGGAGTACAAAACTGTGACTGACATCATTAATAACCATGTGGTACACAATTGTGCCGAGTGTGTGAAAACATTTACATGCTACATTCACACGTCTAATGTCATATTGGTGTTATTTTTAATGACTTTATGTTTTTCAAGATCACTTATGTCACAAAACACTGTGAGGGTTTTTAATCTTACCGGTCAGTATTTCAGCAACATGAAAATAATTAAAACATTCCAGTGTTTTCACTAACAGATGAGAATATTTACATAACCGTTTTCAATTTGGGTTTGCACAGATTCTGCCGTTGTCTCACAGTGAACATGTCTTATCACTCGTTCACTTTGAAGTCTGACAGCCATATGCTCATATCACTAATACTATATTTCTTACAAGAGAACAAATAATTACTGTACGTACAAGCTGGGCTTGTACCAAACTGATCATCCCATGTGCGGTTTTTTTTTTTAATGACGATGCTGCTTGAAAATCTTAAGTATGATTTATTGATATATTTAATGTTTTGCTGAATCATTCTCACATTAAGATTCATGTTAAATTCAACAATGTGGCCGATATTTGCGCGACAACAATCAAACCATGCTTTGAACAGTGAAACAAACAGCTGATAAACCTCAACTTCTGTTTCTACTTCAGTGCTTATGACTTTTGCAGGCTTTTTGAGCAAACCACAGCCGACCTGCAAAATACAATGTAAGTATTGACTCTTGCATCATATTCTCTGCTCATGTGCACAAAGTTGAATCTAAAGGAATGAAAAGAGTGGCCTCACCACCTGAACACAGGACTGAAACCTGCGGCCATCCTCAAAATGATTGACAGGTCTTTTTAATACATATGAAGTACACAACTCTTTACTCTTTCAGTAAAACACGCTTCCATTTTCACTTATGGTCAGTTGAGAAACTTTTAATCATTATGATGAATTGTTTTTATGTATGTGCTTTTATCTCAAACAATGTATGTTTAAAAAAGTACATATTTGGGCCTTTAATGATTCTGTATTTGTGTGTGTGTGTGTGTGCGCATGGAAGTCATGTTACGTTTACACTGTAGAGATGCAGACCCCCCCGTCTACAACCTTTGTTACATCAACAGGTTGGAAGTTCTCATGAAGATTCTGTGTCAGATTTGGCCCAAGCTAAAACTGTTAAGTTCATAATGTTAATGTCAAAAGTAAATAATTGTAAAATTGTTTTTTTAATCTATTTATAGAAATAAAATAACTTATTCATTCTATGAACTGGGCTCAATATCTTTTTTCCCCACATCAGAACAATGATATGTACCAAGAATACATTTTTGCACACTCTGAAAAATTGGGAAAACAGGAAAAGCACTTAAACTGGAGTTCTGTGACAAATTTTAATGGAGCATCAACAGAAGCCGACAGGGGATCACTGATGGTCATTGTCAAGCATGTGATGGTGAAAAGAGTGCGACTGTGCCTTTGGTGGGAGAGTCATCAGGAAAGTACAAATAACCATTTATTGTCCATTCTGCATTATCTGCTCACAGTTCACAGTTCATTTACCATCAAACCAAATGGCATTTGGGTAGCACGGGGATTCCGCAGGTTTTAAGTATCAAATCAAGCTCCCACATGTTGCATGTCTACCGTCTCTTTTTTCGCTGACCTCCACATATACTATCACTCTCCATTAGAGAAGTCTAATGAAGCAGAAATGTCACAAACGTAATCTTGGAAAAAAAAACAAAACATTGTTTTAGTATCCAACTTTCACATGTGTGGGAATTTCCAAACTCCACAATTTATTAAATCCTGTTTTATTCACTTGTAATTAGTTATGTGTTAAACATTTAACCAAAAGGACATGGCACAAAAAAAAACAACAAAGAAACAGTTATTCTACCATGAAATTAATCCTTGTGCTTGCAAAATAAGTTAAAAAATAAACACATAAAAACCTCTACTAATCCCCCCCTCTGCAGTTCCTTAAGGGCCTCATTGAATTTGCCCTGTGTTCTTCTACAGGCGCTGCCTCAGCCGTCTCCTCGTGCTGAGGTCCTTCGTGCAGCCTCCGGAGCAGTAAGAGATGGTAATTTTGACGCTTTACCGCCAGGCCCGGTTGAGCAGTTTGACTTCTGCCAGGCGTTTGCTGATCATGGTGGCAAAGAAAAGTGCAAAGAGAACGCTACTGATCAGCATGTAGTCGTAGTCGTCTTTCAGTACGTCAAACTGCTTCGAGGGATAGACACGAGTCTGGTAGATGTCGAGACCGTATGCCACCACCTATAAAAAGGGAAAAAAACAACATTGTCATTGACTGTACATTTAATTTACCCAAAGGGGATAAAAACAATGTCTTGACTGTGTTTTGGAAGGATTTAAAATTGTAAGGAGTTTTTGTTAGGCCATGACTCAGTATTATGTCAGAAATGCTCTGGGTGCATCCATTATTTATTTAATTGATAGGGACAGAGCACGTTAATGAACATCAGTATGAAAATACAAGATGTGAACATGACAAAGTAAACATGACGACGCTAATTTACATCTGTAGTCCCTAGGCAAGTAACAAAAATATTTCCTTCATTAGAAGGACTTCATCTTAAACTATCCTAAAGTTAGCCTACTTGCCAGTGGTTGTTCATTTCATAACTTCAAATGGAAAGTACATATTAAGAAATACAGGCACGAGAGACCAGGATAAGTAAATAATGATTTTAGAAGATGAACGCCACAAATTAAAACTTAGGAAGTTAAATTCTGACACACAGTGGCAGCTCAGTTAAACCAAAAAAAAAATAATAAAAATAAATAAATAAATAAATAAAATGTATTTTTCACTACATTTTCTTTTGTCAAAACATTTTCTAAAAACACAAACGATCGTTATATTTCTGTCACTATCTTAATGGCAGACTCACCAGGCAGGTTGACTCCAGTCCAGACGGGGCAGTGTAAATTCCTCGCACTCTTGATACAGTCTGATTGTAGTTGATGAACCACTCCGTACGGATCAGCAGCTCTGGTGCGTACGGTATCAGGTTCTCTTCCCTGGAGATCAAGTGAACACATTAGACAGAGAGAAAAAAAGTCAATGAAATGTTTCTAATCAAACTCGACTGGCAGACGCACCGGCTTTGCTCCGTTACTATTTCTGGCCTCCGAGGGTCAAGGAACATCTTGGGTAGTGACAAAATCCCTCCAGATGGCAAGCCAACTGTGATGAAGAAAAGCAAAAGATTCATTTTTTTATTATTATAATTAAAAGTAACAAGGCAAACAATGCTGTGAAGAAGGTGATTTACTCCATTGCAGTTCGGACATGTGGAGCTGGCTTAAACTTACCGAGCAAATGGCGGCTGGTGATGCCCTTCTCGGTCAGCGTGGCCTCCATGGCGGAAATTGAGGAGGGGAAAATGTAAGACTGCTGAAGCACCTGAGGAGCATGTGGCCGATCCAGTGAGCTGAACACGGTGCTGTTGTAGAGCTCCATGCCTTCATACAGTTCAATTACGGAGAACTCATTCCTGCGAGACTTGGTGCTCCAGTACTCGTACTGCGGCGTCAAACAGAGGCAGGGAACACATTAGGATCACTGTTCCACTTCAACATTTGATGTGTTCAATTACAGTGTGGGTGCTTAGTCATTTTTATACAGATGCAGAGAGCAAACACCATATTCTGACTGTAACCAAGCAAAGAACAACAAGGCAAAACTAAATATCTTAACCGTAAGAGTGACTTTGGCGGTAAATATTACTCACCACCACCCAATTTTCAGAGTGCACAACATGAACTGGTCCTCTGGTCTTTCTCTGAACAGCGTCATGGATGATGCGACCAGTCACGCCGTCAATCAGGAGGATCCCGATGAAGCTTCGCTCCTGATGCAGGTCTGTGCTCTCAGTCACCACAGCCAGTAGATTTGGGTTTAGGTACTGTGAGCAATTAGATGAAAACACAATTTAGCATCTTGATCAAGGTTAAGAAATCTTTTTCCATAACAACCCTGACTTTTAAAAACTTATATTGACAGCTTATATTGGCTCCACTAGCACCATGGCCTAAAACATGGAGCTTTTCCCCCTACACCACAGATAAAGCTCAAAGTGTGGGAAAGACACCAGTGTCTTGTTCGTCACACTTTTGCATGCTGGGATGTAGAGAACATTGCAATCTCCAGAATCCATGAGAGAGCTTTGGAGTTTTCTATCGCTCTATCGTTTCTAGTGTAAGGGCCCTAGTAGAAGAAAACGGGGTTTAACCGTATTCAGAGTCAGTGGTGAAGAGAGGATACGATTCACTGGGGAAACAGTGACATGAGGGACCGTATTTCTTGGAAAGTTTTCAGCCTACATCAGAGCTCGAGGAGTGACTCCATCTCTCTGAATGAGTGAGAAGTCGAGGCAACAGTGACCAAATCCAGCACCAATAAGACATATGATATCATCTTCAAACTCTCACACCACAGTGTTAATAAAGGTTTCAGGGGAAGTTATAATACCTTATAGAGGACACTACGGTCTCCCATTACTCTGCCCTGGGAGTGCACATGCTCATTGGGCCTCTTCCCTTTGATTGAGACAATCTTCTGCACCTCGGTTGGCATGAGGATCTCCCAGATCAGCTCAGTCGACAAGTCCTGAGCGCACAAAAACATTCAGAGTCATTATTTTTGCCAATCATTTGTGAGTTAAGTATTATTTCACGGTGGCTCGCTGTAAGAGCAACAACAATAAAACAGACTTCTGACAACCAAAAGGTAAAGACTGGTGGTGGCTAGGCTTTTCTAAAACTTGCCGTTCGTAGCCTGTAGCCGGAAAGTCTTCCCTGGTTGGAGTCAACAAGATAAAAGAATATGGACGAGGCCATCTCCTGGAGCTGCTGAAGTACATTCTTTGTGGAGGGAAAAGCAGACACCTGCAGAAAAAGAACAACAGATGCATACAAGTATACGAGTGGTGCGTTGCCCTGATGCACATGGATACGTAGCATGTCTGCATCTCTATTAATTAAGACACATCTGAGTTTGCCACCGACCTTGTACTGGTCATCAACAAGGAGTAAGACTTTAGCATAATCCTGGTCCATGAGAGGCAGCATGAGTGACTGAAGTATCGGCTGAGGCAGAGCAGGTGGGGTGACGTGACTCTTCTTTCCAAAGATGGGATTAAATACGTGCAGTGTGGCCAGCCCAGTGTCCTTGAAAAGAATAGAACAAAACATTGAGGAAATGGCAAAAATGAATACACACACCACATCACCAGTTACACGTATCAGGCGTGCTCAGTAGAAACTTTAAGTTCTCTCTCTTGAAGTCCCTCACTCTGTGCGCGGTACAACAATTAGCAAGCGATCTTGTGATTTAACAGCTACGTAATTTGCTTCATTTATGCTCGCGAGACCCACAGGATAATAACATTGACTCCCGCAGCTGAATATCTTTCAAGCACAGAGCTCTTGTTGTCAGATACCTTGTCTTTGATGAGCAGCGTGCACTGTGGCGGATGAGGGAAGTGAGCAGTGGTCCGTTGCACCATTAGTTTGAAAGCTGCATTCGATGGGATGTTGTCCAGGTAGTGCCTCCATACAATACTGCCGGTCTTGCTGTCGATACCAAAGAGCTGAACGAAAAATAAGCAAAGGGAAACATTAGGATGGAGTCTATTAATTAGCGTTTGATTTCACTTGAGGCCCGCCTGACCGTAGACAAAAACTTGTTTAACCCCCATTGTGCAGCTCATCTGTCCTGAAACACTTCCATTAACCTCCACGAGAGGGTAAGCTTTAGTCTCGTACCTTCCCAGATGCAGTAACCATGACCATCATCTTCTGCAGGTTGAACTCGTCTCTGGAGAGGGTCTCAATGGTCACGTCATTTTTGACTTGACTGCGAGGCTTCCGTGCGTCGTAGAACATCTTCCAGAGGTGGGCGATCCAGGCCTGCAGCAGGATGATCTGAGAGGAGAGCCTCTTCAGCAACATGGACAGCAGGCCGTCTACACAAATTACATAGAGGACACAGATGCTGCTTCAGGACTTTTAGTGGATTGAGAATCACAACTTGGACATTGTGCGATCGTTATTGCAGGCAAAGCACCGGTGTACCTCACAACAATAACAGGATTTTAAGTCAACAACAGGAGAACCTTAAGATCCATTAATCAAGTTTTGTATAAGAAAAACAGAGAAGTGCGTTACCTTGAATGGCTGAATCCAAGCGAAGCAATAAAAACAAGGCAAAGACAAAAGAAAGTGAAGCAAACTGCAAC